AAAAAAAAAAAAAAAAAAAAATTCCAACATTAGAACTTTAGTTAAATAAACCTTACATTACTCAAAAACTAGAATATTGCACAACCATTTTTTAAATTTAGTGACATGAGAAAAATGTTTATGCTATAAAGTATTTGAATAAAGCCAAGTAAAGGGCTGGGTGGGGTGGCTCACATCTGTGATGTTAGCACTTTGGGAGGCTGAGGCTAAAGGATCACTTGAGGCCAGGACTTCGAGAGCAGCCTGACAACATAGTGAGATTCCTGTTCTCTACAAAAAACTTTAAATATTAGCTGGGTGCAGTGACACAGGCCTGAGTCCTAGCTACTCAGGAGGCTAAGGTAGGGGATGGCTTGAGCCCAGGAGTTTGAGGTTACCATAAGCTATGATCGCACCACTGCACTCCAGCCTGGGCAGCACAGCAGATCCCTGTCACAAAAAAGAAATAAATAAATAAGTAAAATTCATCCATAATACATAGGATATGATGGACTCTGTAAAAACGGATAGGAAACGACCAGAACTGTGATAATAGCTGGAGGAAGAGATGTTTGAGGCATTTTTTCCTCCTTCATACTATTCAATAGTTCTTAACTTTTATTTATTTATTTATTTTTTGAGACAGAGTCTCACTCTGCCACCAAGGCCAGAGGGCAGTGGCACAATCTCAGCTCACTGCAACTCCATCTACTGGGTTCAAGCGATTCTCCTGCCTCAGCCTCCTGAGTAGCTGGGACTACAGACACGTGCCACCACACCTGGCTAATTATTTGTATTTTTAGTAAAGATGGGGTTTCACCATGTTAGCCAGGATAGTCTCGATCTCCTGACCTTGTGATCCGCCCACCTCAGCCTCCCAAAGTGCTGGCATTACAAGCGTGAGCCACCACGCCCAGCCTTCCTAACTTTTATATGGCGAGTATGCATTACATTTATAAATAGAAAAATGTTTATGTTTTAAAAAGAATACAAACTTTGCACTGACTTGATCATTACATGTTCTATGCATGTAACAAAATTTCACATGTACCCCATAAATATGTACAAATATAATGTGTTTTTTTAAATACACACTTTGAATCCAGCACCTGCCTGTGAGGGGAAGTCCTCAGAGGACAGGAGGTGGTAGTTTCAGGTCTGCCCCCACCCCATAATAACCACCACTTGCCTGTGTGCGCGGCTTCAGAGCTTGCAAAACACCTCACTTCCATGATCTCACCTAAGCCTCCCCACGTAACTCTGTGGAATTCTCCTTGCCAGATTTGCAGCTTCAGAGGGATGAGCTTAACAGACAAAATCCCAAACACATTAACGCAGCCTCCCATTTGCCTTCAAGACAACCCCTGATCCAGCCGAAAAAGAGAGTTTCCTCCAGCAGCAGTGAGTTTGAGGGTGAGTCCCAAAATGGGGTCCTAACGCTGATCAGAAACCCCCAGACAGAGGGCCTGATACTGATGACCAGACCCCATTGATATTTCAGCTAAGTGAGGTGGAGAGATGGAATCGCTCCCATCCAGTAACTGCAGTCACATTCCAGAGCACGTTGGGGAGACCCCAGAGTCTACGACCTGACTCCAAGATCTTCCAAGCTAGGAAGTGCATGAGGAGGAGCAGGTCTGCGGGGAAAGGGCACACATCCATATTTTCCTTCCAAGGCTTTGTGGAATCATCTTTTCTTTCTCTCTTTATTTCTTTCTCTCTCTCTCTTTCTTTTTCTTTCTTTCTTTCTTTCCTTTCTTTCCTTTCTTTCCAATTTTCTTTCTTTCTCATGGAATCTCCCTCTGTTGTCCAGGCTAGAGTACAATCTCCAATCTCGGCTCACTGCAACCTCCACCTGCCAAGTTCAAGTGATTTTCCTGTCTCAGCCTCCTGAATAGCTGAGATTACAGGCACTCACCAATAAGCCTAGCTAATTTTTGTATTTTTAGTAGAGAAAGGGTTTCACCATGTTGGCCAGGCTGGTCTTGAGCTCCTGTTGTCCACCTACCTTGGCCTCCCAAAGTGCTGGGATTACAGGTGTAACAACTGTACCTGGTGGCATCTTCTTATAAGTTTATGTTTGTTTGTTTTTTTGTTTTGTTTTGTTTTTGAGATGGAGTCTTGCTCTGCCACCCAGGCTGGAGTGCAATGGCACGATCTGGGCTCACTGCAACCTCCCCCTCTTGGATTCAGGCAATTCTCTGCCTCAGCCCCCCGAGTAGCTGGGACTACGGGTATGCGCCACCATGCTTGGCTAATTTTTGTATTTTTAGTAGAGACAGGGTTTCACCATCTTGGCCAGGCTGGTCTTGAACTCCTGGCCTCGTGATCCACCCGCCTCAGCCTCCCAAAGTGCTGGGATTACAGGCATGAGCCATGGCACCTCACCCCATAAGTATATTTTTTATATGCTTACTTGATATCTAGTTTGGCCACTAGACAGTAAGTGCCAGGAAAGCAGTGCCCACATCAGTTTTGTTCCCTGTTATTTCCCTAGATCCAGCCAGGTTCATGGCAAGTAAAGCATGCCAGAAAACACTTGTGGACTGAGTGTAGTTCAACTCACAGTGAAATGCCTCTGGGTCATGGAAGAACCGATGCCCAATCCCAGGACAGTGACACGTCCCAGTAAGAAGACATGCAGCCACACTGCTGGGCACCAACTCTATGCCCAGGTGGCCTTACATAACTCACAGCCACCCCAGGAGTCCTGTTGAGAACTAAGGATTATCCGACCCAGTCATTTTGAATTCTCCTAACAACTAAACGCCCTTGAAAACAAAATTTCACAGAGTCCAATTACTATAAAAGATCAAAGAGGAACAGCTCTGCTTGAATCAAGCTTGAGAAGGAAGGAGCCTCCCTAGCTCGCCTACTCCTTCCCTCTGCCCTTACCACCTGCCACAAGGCTGAGGCTCACAGAGGGAAAGGGACTTCTCATGAGTGCGCTAGGGAATGACGTAAGTGTCAGAGCCAGGATGGGCCCAAGTCTCCTACTTTCCATGTCACTGTGCTTTGCAAGAGACTCTACCATTACTGAAGCTACCAGTGTAGCACAATACAAAACACACTGCAAGAAATTTCTCCTATCACAAAAGACCTCTAAGTCCTAGGCTAGGGGCTGCCTTGGGTCCCTTGAGATTCAAATATCTGAGGAAAGATCAGCAGCGGATATGAACGACCTGAACAGTTCATCCAAGCCCAAGGCCTTTGAAGGCCTTCACCCAGCGTAATTTTTTCCTTTCTTCTTTCAGATCTGAATGCATATGCTTCCCAAAGAAATTTTTACAAGAGAAACTTGAACCGCTACAGCCAGTATCACTGGCCGTTCCAGCCGTGTCTCATTGGGAGGCCCTGAGCATTCTAGCTGGCAGCACCCATGGGGGTTCCTGATGCTACACAGCTGCTGGGGTGTCTCCATGAGTAAGAGGGCGGTGGACAGGAGTCATGAAGACTGATTCAGAAACTCCCCTGAAGGAGGAGAAGACGTCTGAGCCATCCTTGTGCCACCAGCAAGTCACTCCAGCTCCTGAAAAAGCCACCATGGGAAGAGCTGCCTCCAATTAAAGTTCTTGGTCACATCAGAGGACATCTCTCCTCTTTTCCTTTCCCCCTTACCAAATAATGTCTTATCATTTTTAAATATATTGTCACATCTAACTAAGCTTTAAAACTTTAGCCCTTTGGGAGGCCAAGGCAGGCAGATCACCTGAGGTCAGGAGTTCAAGATCAGCCTGACCAAGATAGAGAAACCCCATCTCTATTAAAAATACAAAATCAGCCAGGCATGGTGATGCATGCCTGTAATCCCAGCTACTCAGGAGGCTGAGGCAGAAGAATCACTTGAACCCAGGAGGCAGAGGTTTCAGTCAAGATCCTGTCATTGCATTCCAAGCTGGGCAACAAAAGCAAAACTCCATCTAAAAAAAAAAAAAGAAAAAAACGTTAGCCTTTTGACTGGGGCAGTGCCTCACACCTGTAATTGCGGCACTTTGGGAGGCTGAGGTGGATCACCTGAGGTCAGGAGTTGGAGACCAGCCTGGTCAACATGGTGAATCCCCATCTCAACTGAAAATACAAAAATCAGCTGGGTATTGTGGTGCACTCCTGTAATCTCAGCTACTAGGGAGGCTGAGGCAAGAGAATCACTTGACCCCAGGAGGTGGAGGTTGCAGTGAGCTGAGATTGCACCACTGCACTTCAGCCTGGGTGACAGGGTGAGACTTCATTTCAAAGAAAGAAAAGAAGGAAGGAAGGAAAGAAGGGAGGAAAGAAGGGAGGGAGGGAAGGAAAGAGAGAGAGAGGGAGGGAGGGAGGGAGGAAGGCAGGCAGGCAGGCAGGCAGGAAGGAAGGAAGGAAAAAATTTAGCTTTTTGGATACCTTTTGAATTAATTGCAAATTTACAGAAATGTCTCAAGAATAATACAGAGAACTCCCATTTACCTTTTACCCAGAGTCACCAATTGTTTACATTTCCCAATTTGCAGCATCTCGGCGGCTCACTGCAACCTCTGCCTCCTGGGTTCAAGCGATTCTCCTGCCTTAGCCCCCCAAGTAGCTGGGATTACAGGCACCCACCATCATACCAGGCTAATTTTTGTATGTTTAATAGAGATGGGCATTCACCATGCTGGCCAGGCAGGTCTCAAACTCCTGACCTCAGGTGATCCTCCCACCTCTGTCTCCCAAAGAGCCACTGTGCAGGGTCAATGTATGTCTTTAGAGCCAAATGGAAAAGACATATACAGTTTTGTTAGATGCTGCCAAGTTCTCTTCTGTAAGAGTTTATAAGCCAGGTTCAATGGCTCACACCTGCAGTCCCAGCACTCTGGGAGGCTGAGGTGGGCAGATCACCTGAGGTCAGGAGTTTAAGACTAGCCTGGCCAACATGGTGAAACCCCGTCTCTATGAAAAATACAAAAATTAACTGAATGTGGTGGTGGGCGCCTGTAATCCCAGCTATTCGGAAGGCAGAAGCAGGAGAATCGCTTGAACCAGGGGGGTGGAGTTGCAGTGAGCCAAGATCCCGCCAGTGCACTCCAGCCTGGGCGACAAGAGTGATACTCCATCTCAAAAAAAAAAAAAATAATTAATTATCTGTTTATGTCTTCCAGTCTTTTGTATTTTTCCCCTTAGTTTTTTAGTGCTCTTTATATACTAGAAATATTAGCTCCTCGAAGTCAAATTTATTAATCTTTCATTGAATCTGGACTTTGGGTTCTCATTAGAAAGCCTTTCCCTATATCCAGTTTATAGAGGAATTCACCCACGCCTCTTCATTTCTTGTATAGCATTATTATTTACATGTATAACCTGTTCCATTTGGCATTCACTGTTATGTATTTAGGAAGTATGGATCTAACTTTACATTTTATCCAAATGATTACATAGTCATTTCGGCATATTTATTAAGGAGAATATCTTTGGTCCAATTATCCATCTGAGATGACACCTTTATTCTCATATACTAAATTTTCATATATATTTGTGTCTTTTTCTGAACTTTCTATTCTACTCCACTGGGGAGTCTGCCTGTTTTATTCTTGCTTGTTTTTTTGTGTAAATGTTAGGATCATTTGTCTAGCTTCATAAAAAATCTTGATATTATTTTCATCATGATTGTGCTAAATTTATAAATTAACTTAGGGAAAATTATAAATTAGGAAGAACTGACCCATCTGTAACACTGATTCTTCCTAACCACCAACAAATGGCTTTTCATTTGTTCAAACCTACTTTGGGTTTCAGGGCTATTTTCAAATGTTCTTCATATTAATTTTGCAAATTTCTTATTAACTTTACTCCTAAGTATTTTATCTTTTGTTGCTATTGTAAATGGAGTTTTCTCCCTCACTATTGTTGTAGATAGTTATTGCTTGTGTATAATAACACTATTGAGTTCGTACGCTAATTGTATGCCTTGCTTCTCTTCTGAATTCTTTCGTTGTTTGAGTCATTTTGTTATTGCTTTCCTATGGCTTACCAGTAATACTTTTATATTATCTGCAAGTAGAAATACTTTAACTTCTTCTAATTTTTATGTCTCTGATTTACCTTATCTAATTGCAGTGGTTAATGCCACCAGCACAATGTTAAAGTTAGTAGATTTCTTTGCCTCGTTCCTGATTTTAAATAGCTCCAGTATTTGCACATTAAGGAAGAAGCTGAGTTTAGGGCAAAGACTTAGATAGAGATAAAGAGAGTGCTATTTTATCATATTAATGTAATATCCATCAATTCCCTCTTTCCTTTTTTTTAAGCATCTATAAGGGAAAAAAAATCACATAATTTTTTTACTCATATTGAATCAAACTTCCATTCCACAGATAAATTTCATCTGACCATGATTTATTATCTTCATACTATGATGTTGGATTCTCTTCACTAATACTTTATTAAGTACTTTTGTATCAGTATTGGTAGGTGACACTGCTGTGTAATTTTCTCTTTTCATATTATCCCTATCAGATGCAGTTGTCAATATATACTTCCTTCACAAAAATAAGTTGGAAGTTTTATTTTATATGCTCTAGGACAATGTATGTAGTACTGTAACTGGTCTTTAAAAGCTTGGTGAAACTCTCTTTGTCAAATTATCTGGACCTGTTTGGTCCTATTTGGGGAAGGGTAGTTCCTTAATAAATTTCTTCTACAGAAATGAATAGTTTCTATCTTTAACACAGTCAATTTAATAAACTGTATTTTCTCAGGAAATTATCTACTTCATAGAGTTTTTCAAACTTTTTTACATAAAAGTATATAATGGACTCTCAAGATTTTTAAAATTTCTTTTGTTTCAACAATTATTTCCTGCTTATTCTTTCTAATTTTATATATTTGTGCTTTTTCCCCCTTTGTCCTGATTAAGCTACATAGTATTTCTGTTTTGTTAATTTTTTTCAAAAAATGATTTTGATTTATTAATTAGATCTGCTTTTTAATACTCTGGTAAATTCTGCTTTTAATCTTATACATTATTTTGGTTACTTTGTTGTGGTTCTTCTGCTTTTAGAAATGTGAATTTATTTCATTCTTTTATTTTCTTGATACAAGTGTTTAAAGACTGTGGTAGGCAGAATAATGACCCCACTGAAAATGAAGATTAAGGTTGAAGATATGATTAAGGTTGCTAATCAGTGACCTTGAGATAATCCACAATTATCTGGCTGGGCTCCATCTAATCAATCGGGAGAATCTGCAGCCCACTCTGGGGCAGGTTTCTGCCACGATGGCACAGAGGCCAGGACAGGAGAGGAGGTGGCAGCAGTCAGTAATTCACCAATATCCCCTTCCCAGTGAGAAGAAACTAAACAGTCATGTGGCTTGCCAATGAAAACACAGCAGATAGGACACTAGCAGTGGCTTAGAAATGTGTTTTCACAGTGGGGCTTGCTGTGTCTTCCTCTAGCAGCCCCACAAGAAGAACACGCCTGGCTAGACTACTAATCCAAAAGGGATAAGAGACTCGTGAGGCAGAACCACTCCAGCCGACCTGACAGGCACAGTGGACAATGCGGCATGGTGGACAAAGGGTTGGACCGCTGGAAAGAGGGTCAGCATATGTCCTCCCTCCTCCCTGCCTTTGTGGTTCAGTCCAAACCCTACTGTCCCCCACATTCTCTGGTTCCCCCACTCTGTTGACATCACAGACAGCCTCCTGTCCACCCTGCCAGCTGCAGGTGAGTGAGGCTCATAGGTTAGGCCTAAGGGTAGGAGGGGGTAATTTTTCTGTGCTAAAATAGAAAATGTCCCCATCACTCCTGGACACCTATTCACTTTGCTGCAAGAAGTAAAGTGCTATAAGAACCCTTATTTGCCTTGACCCCTCTGTTTCTCTCTCTCTGGGTCCCAGTCTCCCCACCTGAGCTGAAAGACTCCTAAGGGCTCCCCCAGCTCCAGAAGCCTTCCTGTTTGACCTCACTGATTTTTCTTATTCTGATCAAAGTGCTGTGGGGTCCCTAGAGACCTGAAGCTCAGCAGCCCACTGTGGACAACCCAAGGACCCTTTTCATTGGCTCCTGCTTCCCTCTAGAGGTGGGCATTGGTAATGCAAGAAACACCACACTCCACTCCATCCCAGCCAGCATCTCAGTGATATTAAACGCTTACTGTATGCCAGATATCCTGCAAAGCACTTGATATCTTTATGTCACCAAATCCTTACAACGGCATTCTGTTGGGAGGTTTTACCATGCCATTGTACAGACTGGAAAACTGAGGTTCAAGGAGGCTAAACTGCTCAAAATTACACAGCAAGGTGAAGGAGGAATTAGGACCCGAAGTCCATCTAAGTAAAAAAAAAAAAAAAAAAAAAAAGTGTGCTCTTACCTGTGATGCTGTTCTGCCAGGCTTCATATGGAGCCTTTCCACTGAAAAACCACTTACCATCAACGCTTGGAGGTCAAGGTGGTTCTGAACATCTCATTCTGGAATTGCATAGACAGAATAAGATCTGTCTTCAGTTAAAAAGACATTAAAATCCCAGCTGTTCCTCTTGGCTGCCACAATTGAGCAAGTCACCTTTCTGAGACTCAACTCCCTCCATCTGGAAAATCGGACAAAGTCCTGCCTTGCAATGTGGAGACGAAAATGACATGAGCTCAGTGATGTCAAAGGATCTGCCCAAATGCTCAATGAATGTCAGTGTTCTTGACACCATGGCTGTTTCTATTCCCATTACTTTCTGAGATTAAAGAAAAAAAAAAAAAAGGCAGCCAGGCACGGTGGCTCACGCCTGTAATCCCAGCACTTTGGGAGGCCAAGGTCGGCGGATCATGAGGTAAGGAGTTCCAGACCAGCCTGACCAACATGGTGAAACCCTGTCTCTACTAAAAATACAAAAATTAGCCAGGTGTGGTGACACACACCTGTAGTCCCAGCTACTCAGGAGGCTGAGGCAGGAGATAGCTTGAACCCGGGAGGCAGAGGTTGCAGTGAATTTACCAGAGTATTAAAAAGGAGATCTAATTAATAAATCGTAATCTTTTTTGAAAGAAATTAACAGCAAGTGAGTGGCAGTGCCAGGACTGGGACCAGCAAGGCGGGGTTTCATCATCATGCTCCCATGGGACCTGGGCCCAGCTGGAATAATGGAGCCACGTGGGAAGGCAATGAGCATGGGAAGCCGTTTGGAGCGCCTCCCCTCAGAGCGGCCAGTTTACAGACACTCTCATGACTCCAAGGTGGTACTACCATTCCCATTTTCCAGATAAGAAAGTGAGGCCAGTGGCTGGGCACAGTGACTCATGCCTGTAATCCCACCAGTTTGGGAGGCTGAGGCAGGAGGATCACTTAAGCCTAGGAGTTGGAGGCTGCAGTAGCTATGATTATGTCACTTCACTCCTGCCTGGGCTACAAAGCAAGACTGCGTCTCAAAAATAAATAAATTAAATAAAATAAAGTGAGGCACAAAAAGATTACAACCCAAGAGCACACACACACCTAGAGGGAAGGCAAACCTGACTCCTAAACATGAGCTTGTCTGTGTGAGTGGCTGCATCTCCTGAGTTCTGCTGCCATAGGACCTGGCAAAGAAGAGATCCACATTTTTCAGCAGCAGTCTTAAGTTCATCCAGAAAATAACGCTGTCCAGAGAACAGTGCCAGACCCTCAACATCCGCGGTTCAAGAAGGCAATGCTACAGGTAAAGACTGGCAGAGCAGAGGCTCCAAGTCCTTTCCACAGGCAGAAGAAATGTTCACAGTGGAGGAAAGATGGGCCCTCACAGTGGTGGACCCAAGCAGGTGGGCCTGGAACTCCTGTCCACAGGAGCTACAGCAGGGGAGGGCCTAGTATGACCCAGTGCTTAGATAACAGTGGCTTTCTGGGATTGGAGCTGCAAAGCCAGGAGCCCCAGTGCCCTTTTCTCCTCCCACCACCCACCAAAACATGGGGTCCAAGATCTTCTGTTGCTGTAAGGCTGGCGAGGGCTCTTCTACCACTGTTGGCTTCCGCAGTCCAAGGGTGTTCCAACAGCATCATCCACGGTCCTTCAGTAGGTTCCAGATGTGGGTGTGTAATAGTGTCAGGAACACCTGAATGATTTCTCTAGGACTCTGCCTCCCCAGCCACCTCCTGCTGGGACCCTCTCAGATTTCTTTCAGCCTTCTGGGAATATGGAAAGGGCGTAGTTACTCCAGCCTGGAACAACACAGCCTAAAGACTCTATCAGTTATTGGAGATTCATTATTAGGTAGTAGATATTTATTGAAATCACTGGCTTTAGTCCTCCATGGCAGTTTATTTATTTATTTATTCACTGAGTTCGTTGAACTTTGTATTTATTTATTTATTTATTTATTTATTTTTGAGACGGAGTCTCACCCTGTCACCCAGGCTGGAGTGCAGTGGCACCATCTTGGCTCACTGCAACCTCCGCCTCCCAGGTTCAAGCGACTCTCCTGCCTCAACCTCCTGAGTAGCTGCTGAGTGGCTGGGATATAGGTGTGCGCCACCATACCTGGCTAATTTTTGTATTTTTAGTAGAGACAGGGTTTCATCATGCGGTCCAGGCTGGTCTCGAACTCCCAACCTTGTGATTTGCCCACTTCGGCCTCCCAAACTGCTGTGATTATAGGCACAGGCCACCACACCTAACTTTTTTTTTTTTTTTTTTTTTTTTTGTATCTTTAGTAGAGACAGCGTTTCACTATGTTGGCCAGCCTGGTCTTGGACCAGGCTGACCTCATGATCCACCCGCCTCAGCCCCCCAAAGTGCAGGGATTACAGGTGTGAGCCATTGTGCCTGGCCATAATTTTATTAGACAGTAGCTTAAACTCTGCCTCGGCTGCTTACTGAGCTTGGACATGTCTCTGACCCTCCCTCTCTCAACCTCAGCATCCTTCTCTCCAAAATGAGGATAACAATAATATATTGCCCACTGCACAGGCTCTTAGGAGGAGGAAGGGAGGTACCGTGTGTAAGTGCGTGCACAAATGGTAACTGTGGACGTGTATTAGGATCAGCTGGACCATGCTGAGCTAATGAGTCAACCCTAAAATCTCAACTGCTTTACCCAGCCTGAGGTCATTCTTAGCTCATGTAAGACCATGAATGATTTGAGGAGTCTCTGAATGGAGTATGACCAAGATGGGTTATTCACACATCACTCAAAGCCTTTACCCAGGATACGTTTATTCCTGTTCTTTCAGATCTGAACACAAATTCTCTCCATAGTGCTGTGCCAAACAGACATTCACGCCTCCCCTATGACACCCGCATGATGCTCAAAGCATGCACCCTTAGGAGGCCCTGAGCATTCTAGCCGGCAGCACCCATGCGGGTTCTCAAGGCTGCACAGCTGCTGGGCGTCTCCATGAGCAGTGGACAGGAGTCATGAAGACTGATTCAGAAACTCCCCTGCAAGAGGAGAAGACGTCTGAGCCATCCCTGTGCCACCAGCAAGAGTCACTCCAGCTTCTGAAAAAGCCACCGTGGGGGGAGCTGCTTCCAATTAAAGTCCTTGGTCACATCAGAGGACATGTCTCTCCTCTTTCCCCCTTTCCCAGCCCTGCCTCTGACATTCCTAAGGACATGGAACAATTAGACCCTGCCACCTCTTGGAAAGAAACGTGGTTTTATCATTTTAACACATTAACACATTTTGTTTCAATCACTCCTAACCAACCTAACAGGGAAGTGCTCCTTAGGAGAGGCCAGTTTGTGTAACAGGCCACTGTCAAAAATGTCCAGAGCTTGAGGGCGCAATTCTGCTCACCTACTGTGCGACTCCATTTGATGCTCAGGGCCATAGGGAAGAGCAGGGCAGGTTGTGAGAAACTCCACGAACAGCAGCCCTAGAGTTATGCAATGAGTAGCCAGTGCAGATACGCAGCGCTGCTCGTGCTGAAACACAGAGCATGGAATCATGAGTAATATGCAGAAGACCCCATGTGGTTTCCACATGAGCCAGGGAGCCAGGCACAGAAGCGTATCACTCTTGACATAACAAGGCAAAAACTTGGAGAGCAAAATGGCGAAGAAGCATTTTGCAACTGACTCAGGGATTCATGGAAGGCTTCCTGGAGGAGATGGTGCTTGAGTTTTCTGACGGTTGAAAGAGAGTTAGCCAAAAGGAGAGGGGATGATATTCCAGAAGGAGGGAACAGAATCAGCAAAGTTGGAAAATCGAGACATGACCTGGGAGGGCGTGAGGGTAGCAAAGTACCAAGTCTGGATGACTCAAGTGAAAACCTGAGCCAGAATTTGGTGGGAGGTGAGGTGGGCAGAGCATCAAGAGCTTTGTATCCAGGGAAAGGGAGCTGGACTCTATCTTGAAGGTAATGGGAAGACACAGGTGAGTTTCAAGCAACAAAGTGACAAAGCCTGATTTCTGATTTTTGTACTATGAACAGTGCCTTAGTCCGTTCAGGCTACTAAAATAAAATATTATAACACCTGTAACTAGGTGACGTATGAACAATGGAAGTTTATTTCTCACAGTTTTGGAGGTTGGAAAGTCCAAGGTCAAGGCTCCAGCAGAATCAGTGTCTGGTGAGGGTCTGTTCCTCGCCAATGGCGCTTCTTGTTGTGTTTTCACATAGCAGAAGGGGAGAGGGGTCTCTCTCAGGTTCTTTTGTAAGGGCACTAATCTCAATTACGAGGGCTCTGCTCTCATGACCTAATCCTCCTAAACCTCCCAAAGGCCCCAATTCTTTTTTTTTTTTTTTTTTTTTTTTTTGAGACAGAGTTTCGCTCTTTTTTTTTTTTTTTTTTTTTTTTTTGAGACAGAGTTTCGCTCTTGTTACCCAGGCTGGAGTGCAATGGTGCAATCTTGGCTCACCGCAACCTCCGCCTCCTGGGTTCAGGCAATTCTCCTGCCTCAGCCTCCTGAGTAGCTGGGATTACAGGCACACGCCACCATGCCCAGCTAATATTTTGTATTTTTAGTAGAGACGGGGTTTCACCATGTTGACCAGGATGGCCTCGATCTCTTGATCTTGTGATCCACCCGCCTCGGCCTCCCACAGTGCTGGGATTACAGGCGTGAGCCACTGCGCTGGCCAAGACCCCAATTCTTATACCATCACCTGGGGAGTTAAGATTTCAGCATATGAATTTGGGTGGGAAGGAGGACATTAACATTCAGACCATAACAAACAATGTGAGTTGGAAGACAACACTTTTTTTTTTTAAGATGGAGTCTTGCTCTGTCACCTAGGCTGGAGTGCAGTGGCATGATCTCAGTTCACTACAACCTCCACCTCCCAGGTTCAAGGCTTCTCCTGCCTCAGCCTCCCAAGTAGCTGGGACTACAGGAATGTGCCACCACACCCAGCTAATTTTTGCATTTTTTTGTAGAGACAGGGTTTTGCTATTTTGGCCAGGCTGGTCTCAAACTCCTGACCTCAGGTGATCCACCCACCTTGGCCTCCCAAAGCTGGGATTACAGGTGTAATCCTGAGGTCAGGAGTGTAACCCTGAGGCCGGCACAGGGAGTGCTAATGTCTTCCGCACCCGGCCAGAAGACAACTTACTAATTAGCACTCTGGGTGCCTGCCCCACCTCAGAAAGGGGAAGAATAAAGGAATATGATGTCTATGCCATAGGATTGTGGAGTAAAATTCATACTTACAATGGAAATCCCATCCTGACTACAATTTGAAGGATGGACTTCAGCGTAATAATAATCTCAATAGACCATCTGGTGCATTCCTTACTCTGTGCCAGGTCCTGTTCTAAACGCTTCATAAATATCAACCCAATCAGCACAACAACCCAATGAGGTTAGAACAATTACTACCTGATTTTACAGATTAGGAAACCGAGACTCAGGTTAAATAAATCTTTTAAGGTTGACACCAATTTATATCAAGTGCCAGAGATAAGACTTGAACTCAAGAAACTCAACTACAGAGTCCACACTCTTAACCACGCGGTTATGCTGCCCCTCGATAATGGTAGAATGACATTCAGTTATTGCTCTGGACCCCAGATGTTTTGCTCCTCAAAAACAAAGCTGGCCCTTTAAATTAATTTTTCCTTTGGTAGTTGGTACAATGCTAGCCTCTGTCAGGAGGGGGTGCTAGAGACACTGGAGGAGGAAGGGGCCTTCCTCCGGTTGTGCTGGGCTCTTCTTAATAGCTCAGAGCTCACCGCTTCTCCAGCATCACCCTCCTGCAGTGCAGGCAGTTTTTCCAGAACAGGAATCCTGCAGAAGATGGTGGTCAGTAGCACTTTGCAACTAGCAGCTTCTCCTAGTGTCCCCCCCAAAGAGGAGGTGTGCCCCTAATCAGATACCGCTCCATGACAGCTTTCCCTGGCACCCAAGGGCAGACTTCTAGAACATTCTCCCAGACTTCTCTGCCATTGTGAGCCACCGCCACGCCCTTCTCAGCAAGGTCTGGATCTCAGCTGGGATGATGCCTGGGGAGGTTCTTTCTTAGTTCTAGGGGTGCTGACTGCTCCCTATGTCCATTATTCCTATATTTTTTAAAGCTCTCCTAACTTCTTACCATGCCTTCATTACTCCAATCCCCTGTTCTAGTTAGTGCTTATATTAAACTTCTCATATTCAAATTGCTATGTGGTTTCTGTCTCCTGATTGGATCATGACTAACACAGAAATCAAATTAAGAGGCTGGGTCGGGCACAGTGGCTTATGCCTGTGGTCCCAGAACTATGGGAGGCAGAGGCAGGAGGATCGCTTGAGTCCGGGAGTTTGAGATCAGCCTGGGCAACACAGCAAGACCTCATCTCTACCAAAACAAAGCAAAACAAATTAAGCAACTGCCTAGGTGATCAGGACAGACGGTGATACAGGCCTAAAGTAGGGCAGCAGCAGTAAGGATGAAGAAGTGGGCCTTGAGTCATAGTTCTCATGCAAAGCTGGCCAATTCTAACTCAGAACCATACAGGAATGAAGATTCCAGGGAATGAGGTCCTTGTGGTATTGAGGCTAAATTGACAATACACAGCAGATCACTTAATTTGGGGCTATTCCAAGCTGGAGAGTCCTATGGGACATTCAGATGGCCATATTAAGAAGGTTGGCAGTATTTAGCAGGAAAAGGGAAAAGAACTATAGGTGGAAGGAAGCAGAGAGGCTTACCACATGTGTGTGTTGTCAGCTCACTGCACTGTGGCACGTCTTCCCCATGGGATGAGACCCCACTGGCATCCACTGGGTGAAGATGCAGTTCACTTTCCTGGACCACATGTCCATAGTCCTCTCCCACTGCCATTCTCATACTGTATCCCCTGGACCCATCCTCTTACCCAGATTCCCCTTGTCCTATGCATTCCTCACCTCCTCCCATGCCAAGGTCCTTTCCTTCCCCAGCAAACCCCATGTTCCTTATTTCTTGGAACTGCTTCCTGCACCAGCTATAGTAGGTGTTTTACACAAAAAAGATGCTCCTTAAATGTCACTTCCTGCTTTGATAATTTAGAAACTCCTTCACAGAAGGGATGCAAAGAAGCCTCCATCCTCTGACATTTTTAAAGGGCTCTCGTCTTTCTTTGAAGGATTTTCAAATAATAACAGCACCAATAATCATGGAAGGCACAGTTGGACTTTCGTCTGACCATGGCAAACTAACTGGTATCAAACCAACCCACCTGCTGACAGCAGTTTAAAAGCAATTTTTTTTTCTTAAATGTGTTTGAATGCATCACAGAAATATCAATATAGTCAGGACATGAGGGGCCAAGATGCTGAAGAGAAAAGTACAGAGAGAGGAGATGAACACTGAAGACTTATCCCCTTGAGGGACCTGCCAAGTCCTAAGCAACTTCCAAGTGGCTGAAAAGTTGAGTAGAGCTTTCAGAAATCTCACAGCTTGGGTAACAAAAATTGGAGGTATAGGGCTCACCATAAAGGAGGAGTTCTGGTTAAAAAAAAAAAAATATATATATATATATATATATAATTTATACATATAAAACGTATGTTATATATAAAGCATAAATGTTAATATGTTTATATTACATATATATTTATGTTATAACATATATATGTTTATATACATATAAATACATATGATATATATATATATATATATGTATAAAAACATGTTTTCAGCTAAAACTCCTGAAGGGCTGAAACCTGAGAGTAAGGTTTAATCACAACTAGACTAGCTCTCACAAAGCCCAAGGTCAAACCTATCTCAAGCCTACTTTCCCCAGAAGCAAAAGTAAATCCTGTCTGAGGGAAGATCCTTATATATCTCTTCGATATTTCACTTTTTTAATTTCTAGCACTTCATGAAAAATTACCATGAATATCAAAAAATAAGACCAACTGATGAAAAAAAAAAAAAAAAAAAAAAAAAGAACCAGATATTAGAGTTTGCAGACGTGAACTTTAAAAGCAGTACAATTAAATATTGAGGAGAACAGATGACAAGATTGGTAATTGTATTTGAGAACTGGGAATTATTTTTTTAAAAACAAAATTATAGGACTGATTACTAAAACAGATCGAATTAAAAACTCAGGCTAGGCATGGTGGCTCACACCTGTAATCCCAGTGCT